TATATAATATCTATTTATGGTTCTTATTTTTTCTATATTTGTTAACAGTAATTTCTTTTAAATTTAATATATTAAGAATATCCATTACTAAAATACTATTTATTTTGAAAAACTTTTATTCTTAAAAACGGAGAATAACCGTTTTTAATAACTTAAACATATGTTATATGTGCCAGGAATGGGAAGACAATATTTATGAATTGACGAATCAATCGAAAATACGTGACAAATTTGTAAATATTTTCGAGAATCAGATTCAAGAAATAAAGGACCAGTACTATGAGACAATGCGTAACATGGCAATATGTCGAACAATAGCTATTAAATGCGAAAATGTATACAACCAGGACATGTTTATTATTTCATCATTTAAGGAAAAGGAAGAATGTTTCAACCGCACTATATTTGCTAAAAAATTTTCTAGAAATCGTTGCGCAATCGCCAAACAATATTACTTGTCGCATCAACTTATTAAAAACATTGTCGTCAAAGCGCATCTCCTCTTGCCAGAAATATTTTGTGATTTTGGACGTTGCCACAGTGTTGAGTTTATAGATTTTGACAAGTATATCAATACATAATTAAAAAGATATTAAATTTGATATTATACGAATGAAAGATATTAAATAAATAAAAACTTTAGTAATTATGATGATGAGGGGAGCCAGTCCCGATAACCTTGACCTTGACGTATGTTGTCAAGATTATAACCCTGAGTGACCTCCAACAAGTTTTAGCTGTCGTTCGTTATTCGTTATAAAAAGTTATTAACAGTTAAAGTTAGTAATTATTTCATTGCTTTACATGAGAAGTCAGATAATTCCGGGCAGTAAGAGAGGTATGAGGTGAACTGATTAAGGGAATATGACTTTCTCCCCCCCTCTCCTCCTTCCCCCTGCAAAGGAGCGCACGACTCTCACCTTCGACTGATGTGCAATAGTACAATTATGGGAGTCGCGCGCCCTTTTGCATGGGTGAGAGGGAGATGAGAGTCGAAGATGAGAGTCGTGCGCACCTGAAGCAGGGGGAAGGGGAATGAGAGTCGAAGGTGAGAGTTGTGCTTTCCTGAAGTAGGGAGGATGAGAGAGTCGAAGGTGAAAGTTACCTAAAACTTATTGGAGGTCTTTCAGAGTTATGACCTTGACATATGTCAAAATCGCAGTCATCGTTGTGATATCCCCTACAGAGTGCACGACTACCAGACATATCCTAAAGCAGAATTTTCATGTTATATGGTTGAACTTCTTTTGTTAATAACTTTTTAACGAATAATAAGCAACGGCTAAAACTTGTTAGAAATCACTTAGAGTTATGACCTTGACAGCATATCAAGGTCAGGGTCATCGGGATTGGCTCCCCTCATCAACATAATTACAAAATTTTTATTTAATCATATAAATGTTTTTTGACATATTTGACAAGTTTTACTAATAAATATTCGTGCAATTTAAAGTCAAATTTTTTCTAACTTATTCAAATTAAACTTTAAAAAATCGTACATAAAGCTTTTATTGGACATATATATA